TTCTAGATACTCAGAAGGCTGAGATCTGAAGATCAAAGTTTGAAGTTTGATCAGGCAGAAAAATCCATGAGACTCTTTCCTCCAGTTAACTACCAAAAAGCTGAAGTGGAACTGTGGTTATGCACTAGTCTTGAGCAATAAAACTAAGGTACAGCACCAAGACCCCACGTTCAAGCACCAATACCAGTATACTACTATTACTACTGCTACTCTCTCTTTCTCTCTCTGTCTCTCTGTCTCTGTCTCTCTCTCTCTTTCACACACACACAAATATATTACATTAAAAGGAACATTCTTTGTAGAATTTCATAGTTCTTCATTTTCCTGAAGGACCAGGATATCGCTTGCTAATGTATTACCTGTTGTTTCTTTTTCATATTACTCATTCTTTATGGGCTTTACACATTCAGTGATTCCCCCAGCTATTTGCACATTATCTCCATTGCCATAAAAAGCAATATTGCTTTATCTCCAAAATATTTATATATAAAATTTATCTTTTAGATGGCTACACCCTAAATTATGCATAAGTTTGCATATTTGACTTAAAATACCTCTGGTACTTCTTTGTGTGAGGCCATCGAGGGTGAAGACAAAATCTCCACCACCAATAACCCTTATTCTTTTTAGTGGGTAGATTTCATGTTTTGTTTTTCTAAACAAGAGAAAACAGTTATAGTTCCACCTCTTATGTGCTTCCTCTCCTCAGAGCTGTAAGCTCAGTATGTGCACATATGTAAGATTTCAAGTGCAAACGCGAACATAGCAGGAAACAGATTTTCCCAGTTGCCGTCTGGGTCCTTGTGTAAGTGCCAAGGTAAAGCTACTCACTCATCAGTGAAACACAAGATAATGCTGCTGGGCTGTAAGGAAACAGATTTGAAAAATCTCAACTTCAGCAGCAGATCAATTGGGTGATTTAGGATGATTGTATCACATTCCAATGACATGCAGTGTTGTCAGAAACTTTCCTCTCCAGAAAAAAAAAAAAAGGAAAAAAAATTACAGGAGGCATAGAGATACCTTTCAAAATGTCAGGCAAGGGGGTTGTGGAGATGTAGTTAGGAATATACACCAGGAAGTGTGCACTGCAGGCATCTGGGTATCTCAGGGTAAAGGGCAAGGTGGTTTTTTTTATTTTATTTATTTATTTATTTTTTTAATGTGAATAGAAGAGGAACAGAAGATTTGCCCTCTATTCCAAACTGGCAAATCGATGGAGGTGAATGGGTGGAAATGTAAGGACCTCCTGGGCTTGGAGAAGTTATTTGATCCTCAGTTTTTGTGTTTTTGTTCTTATTTTTTTATCGATTGTGGTGCTTGAAATCAGGGCCTGGGCCTTGTCCCTGAGCCTCATCATGCTCAAGGCTAGTGCTCCACCATTTGAGCAAAAGGGCCACTTAGGGTTTTTGAGTAGTTAATTAGACATAAGAGTCTCACAGACTTTCTTCCTCAGCCAACTTCAAACCGCAATCCTCAGATCTCAGCCTCCTGAGTAGTTAGGATTGAAGACATGAGCCACCAGTGACAGGCTTGGTCCTCGATTATTTAGAGCTAATAATAACTATATATTCTCTTGCAGAGCAAGGGACAGAGCTGAGGGAATCATTCAGAACAATTTCTCTATCTCTTCCCACTACTCAGCATAAATAGAGGGCTGGTTTGGGGTTATGTTTAGATTGTACACATTTCTGGGATTTTCCTCAATGTCTAACCACCAACATACTGCTGATGGAAATTTTTTTAGCAAAGTAACAAGGTATTTCAGAGATGAGCTTTTCATTGCTTCTTTATATAATATACTGAATGGAGTATGGCTTATGTCAGTACTAACTGGATACCTATTTTCTGCCTGTTGCTAATGGGAGAAGGAGAAAAAATAAAAACAAGTATGAACAAGTAAACCCTCCTACAGTATTTACAGTGGGAGAGTAAGTTACAGTAGGCCAATAAGGTCCAGTAAGTTACATTACATTCCCTTCACAGTTCACACTGCTCAACTCATGACTGATACAGTATTTTTGTAAGTAGATGGAAGCCTGGGTGAATTTAGATTAGCAAGACTAGAAAGAGGTATATCTAAGGCAGAATGCTGACCTAGGAGATGGAGTGAACAATTTTGCTTTAGAGAAGACAGGATACATATCAGAAAAGACTTTTTGGGGAGACAATGCAGATTATTATAGATGAGCAATATTTTCCTAAAGCCTCCAGATTGGAAGCCAACCAGAAGAATACGAATAAATGGGACCAAAAGCAAGAAGGTAGAAAATGATTTGAACATTCAGAGATCTGCAAATTGTTTGGCGACCTTAGTAATAATAATAGGAGTAGAAGAATTGTGACAGAGGAGAATCATTCCTGAAGGGTTTCTTCCAGTAAGTGATATTCCTGACTCAAGCCAGAGCAGGTGCTGTGCTGCTGGCTCCTGGGGGTAGATATGGATAAACAGGAACCAGTATAATGAGTTTGTGCCTCATGTCTTCGAGTATGGTTGACCTTTTTCTTAAATTGTATTGGGATTCAGAAACTAATTAGGGATCCATTCCTTAGAATGGAAGCAATGCAAGTTTATATATGACGCTATCCTTCAATGTAGGCTATGTGTATTCTATGTATTGTTGCTGTAATTAGACTTTACTAAAAGAAAATTTTATATTCCCAAAACTGGCTTAGGGTCACAGGATTGTGTGATAGGTACATCACTTTATAGAAGAATTTGTCATTTAGTAACTGTTCCTTGGAACAGTGATTATCTTGGATTTAATTTTTTTTACACATTTTTTATGCCTCCTCCTCCTCCTCCTCCTCCTCCTCCTCCTCCTCC